TTCCAACAGGAAGAAGGGGATGGTGTAGGCAAAGTCAAATGCTGATGGAGAAACATTGCTAGAAAAGGCCAACTGACTGAATAATGGTGCAGTGACCACTCTGCCAGTTTTGCAGGATTTCCCACAGCCTGCTGTTTTCCAATAACTTAAGACCATCTCTGAACTGCACACAGTTTGGGTGATCTTGTCTCTTCACTTCAGGCTCCGTTTCCCCCCTTTCAGCAGCGTTACCTTGCCCTGTGTGTGCATTTTGAACAGCCCTGTGGGCTGTGCTGCCTGGGAACACCAGGTACTTCATTACCCAAAGAGACATTTCTGCTGCACTGTCAAAGGCAAACACGGAAAACTTTTAAGCTCTCTTGACAGAAGCTCAACGAGAACAAGTTTCTGCAGTAGACTTGAACTAAACTTTCTGTATGAATAATTCCAACAGTTTTTTGTGAATCCCTCCCTGACACCAGTGAGCAGCTCAGCAGGATCAGATCATTTCTGTGAGCAACTGCACGTGAGTGCAGCAGGTGGAAGAGATTCTGTTTTTCCATTTTCTAAAGCCAAATGTGTAAGAGGTTGTGAGGACTGAGCTATATTTGAAATCGTATCCACTAAATTCCAACCTGCTGTCTTTGTATGGGATGAGGCAAAATATCAGCCAGAAATTAAAACAATTTTCAATTTCTTTTCAGAAACAAAGCAAGAAATGCATCAATCTAGAGAATATGTTTCTTATAAGATAGCAGCAAAAGCTATATTGGAGCAGCATGAAAAACAAGAACATTTTCACACATTTCATGAAAAACAAAAGTAGCCATTATTTTTCAATTCTCTGTGGGCCATTTTCAACACAGCTAAGCAGGCATGGAATTTAGGCTGTAATTTTCACAGGGACCCAAGTGAGTTAATGGCCTAATCTTTATTGAAAATTCTCATCTTAACTTCAAGTTGCCAACAGCAGTAACTGCTCCCATAATCAAATATCAGTCGGTGATTCTTCAGTGCTTTTGTTCTTTCCTGGCTTATGTTACTTATATTGCATGTTATGCTTGACATTTAAAAATAAGAAAACCAAACCAAAATAAAAACCCAACGACTTAAGCCTCCCCTCCTCCCCCACCAAACACAACACACACACACTCCCCCCAAACCTAAAGCCAACCCCACATTATGGTGGTTAGTTATTTTCTTTCATTTTCGGGCACTACATGGCTTTACCTGTAAATCATATAAAATGCAGACATCTACTGAAAAAAATCACCTACTATAGCCGCAAAAAAGTAAATATGGACTTTTCTTTTTCTATGCTTCCAGGAGAATCATCACAGTAAAAATAAATATAGATGCTAAAACCAGGAGGATTATACAAGTTAGAACTGGTACAAGACTGTGCATTTTATTAGCATAATTTACATTCTAGCAGGATCCAATCTAGTGTTGAAAAATATGAATATCCAACCTCTGACAGGATAGGACTCTGCTGCTTTCTCCTTATCACAATAAAATTAAGGTTAACCCTCTCAGTACTCTGGATCTGTTATAAATACACAGAGAACCTCATATAGAAATGTCAAACATATAAAAATGCCAAATGCTGCTCTGTATTGATGGAACCAAAATAAAACACACCAAAGAGAATATTCTGCCTACAGATAGGTATCCATGCACATAACCATCCACATGACTCCAGAAATGTCACTGGAGTTTGGACTGCTTCAAATGGGGGCATCCATGTAGCCTGAAAAAATACTGCACTCAGAGTAATAACACCCTGCCTTAGTTCTGATCATCACACCAACTCCATTCAATACCCAATCTCTTGGGCTGGCACTTCTGACCTACAAAAATTAAAAGCCACACATTAGGACATGCACACATGTGCAAGGGCCAACAGGAGTTTCCAGGTCCCTCAGGTGCTCACATTGAGCTGGAGTGAACCAGTCCCTCTGCTGCTTTGGGAACAGCCAGGACAAAATAAAAGTGCTATAGGTATTTCCTGACAACCACCCTACAGGAATGCATTCCATCACAGCCCATATTCACTTCTGTGTAAGTCACAAGATTCATGTTTTGCAACAAAACTCGTCAGGACACTTGGAGGAATAGTGAGCAAGGTGTGAGCTCAGGTCCTGCCAAGGTGATCTACAGTGCAGTTCCAAGAGACAAGGCACTATCCCTGTTCCTTCCTACACTGTGGACTCCTGAGCTTTCTCCAAATCCCCCTCTGTTCACCATATCACACTGCATAGCCAGCTCAGAGAATGAGTTGTGATCTTCAGGGCAGCATTTATCTCATGACATCAAGATGAACCTTTACCCATCAAGAAAAGAAAAGATGACATCCTAAGGCATAAGATCAAGATAGCTGCTTAAAAGCTCAGAGAAGACCAAGACACTGGAATGAGAGGCAGAGGCAATTTTTGGGCTTCCCCCACGCTGAGGAATGAGAACAGGTCAGTTGAAGCTGTGGTGAGTCCTAGTTCACCTCCACAGCTGCACACCCTTCCACAGCAAATAAATAAAAGCTCTGTGCCAAAAAACTGTGAATGGCTGTAAAGAACTTTTGCACGATTTGATGAAAATCATCACTAATGATGATTTTTTTGCAACTCACACAGCACTAAAGCAACAGTCCCAGCAATGGATACACAGAGAGTGCTTCACTCCCAGGGGCCACACACTGTGTCCACATACACATGGATGCACACCCTCCCTGTGGCTGGTACTGCTCCAAGTGATAATCTGCAGAGTCCTTTTCTCCTGCACACAACACTAACCTTACTTGCTTCTGATGGACAAGTGTCAGTGTGGAATGTTCCTTCACTGATTTTCCAAGGATCTACATTAACTGAATTAGCACGGTGGATATGTCTGGGTTCACTACTTCCCCATACACGTGGCAATATTGTTTTTCACATCAGGAAAGCCAGCACACAAACTCTAAACGTGCTGTATGAAAATATTAGTTTTAGGCTGCTGCTGGTTTATGTATCCTGCAGTAGGCAGGGCTGCAAGTGTAACACAAACTATTGATTTCTTCAGTATAAGATTTAAAGTCATAGAGGAACATTAAGAGCCTCAAATTTGATCATCTGCAATACCCAGACTACAGCAATTTGTTAACTCAGTAAAACTGCACTTGAACTAGAGCCCATATTTTAGACTCTGTTTTGATCTTACAGACAACTGCAGGGTACTACCTCCTGCAGTATGTGAGTCAGAGGAAAGTTAATTTCCTGATCTCTTTATTAAGAATCAATAAAAACCACTGCAAACCAACAGGCTGGAGGAGGGAGGGAATCCTTCCTGATACTTTTTCACTGTTTTTACCTCTGAAGAGTGAGGATGAACATTTCTTGTGACACACCTGTCAACCTAACAGCACCGACTGCTTTATGAATAAAAATACTTCACTGGTTTCTTTTCTTTCCTCCATACCCACACATTTACTGATCTATCAGCCTCAGCACCAGCCAACAACAGGAGTTCTACCAGATGATGGCTTGGAACATAAGAAACATTTATTTTATTAACCTACTCTGAAACACTTTCATGTACTTCCTCTGTATTCAGGACAGGTCTTTATTTTAAGTCTACCATTATTTTAGAAACTACTATAATTACTCTTTGTAAGATCTCCTAAGCACAGGATCTCTTTCCCAGACTGAATCTAGGCTGTCTCCATAATCCCTTTTCATGACAGCTCTCTTCCACCTTTCTCACACTTTTAATCATTTCTGTATCCAAAACTCAACATTGTATTCACAGTGAGGCAAGTCTATTACACAATGACATGATAATATTTTCTAACTGATCCTCTTTCTAAATTTAACCAAGTGTTGTGTTTGGGTTTAGGAGGCCCACTGCATATTAAGTAGATGCCTTTACTCCTGTATGATGTGTAGATCTTTCTGCCAAGAGCTGACAAGTAATTCAGAATCCAATAATGCATACAAGTAATTTTAAATTGTCCTTTCTACTGTAACTACCTGGCAAGTTAATTCCATGTTCCAGCTACAGAACACTGTCTGGCAACCTAGATCTTTAAAGTCCTTCAGAAGTGCATCTGCCAATCACTCACTTACATGACTAATACATAATCACTCATATCACTAATATAATACTAATTATAGTAGTAATTTATTTATTAATGAACACGGTGTTGTTTTTTTGCTATTACCTTTCCATACTCAAAGAAAGTGTTTACCACTAATGTACCTGATGAATGTTAATTCATGATAAAATTTTGCCACCTTCCCTGTGATTATTAAGTTCCCTCAGTCTTCAATTGTAAAGGACTTTCATTGAATAAGCAGGTGGCACACAATTATACCCTTGTTTTGGATTTATTCATGTGAGATTTTTTAAAAGAAAAGGATAATTCAGATAGGCAATAATGCCCTCACAGCTGAAGGAACAATGGTTAAACATAAGTAAAATTTGAAAGCACAAACAAAAGCTCTGTTTATTGAACTTTTATGCATTTACCTTGGCTTTCCACTAGGCTCTGAGTACACATGTACTGCAAGGAGCAATATGGAAAGAGAATGAATTTTATGCCTTTGCCTGTGCTGAGGACACTTCCTTTTTAACAATATCAATGTGGCTCTTACACCATAACCATGGTTTTTTTAAATGATGGGTATCCCTTCCTACATGCTCCTAGTAAGGTTTGTTGGCTTCTTTGCTTTTTTTTTTGTGGAGTGTTTTGGTGTTTGTCTGTGGGCTTTTTGGGGGGTTATTTTTGTTTCCTTTTTGTTGTTGTTGTTGTTAATGACAGCTGCACTTGGCAGTAGCTGTGACCTTGAGTTGTACACTTGAGCAGGCAAGGCAGCCCAGTCCTGCCAGGCTGCTTGTGCATTCTGAGAGAGCTCCTTCTGAGAGGAGTGTCTCAACGAAGACAGAATCATGATGTGCATACCAAGCCAAGTGCTTCATGATTTATTTATAGGGAAAAGGGGGCATATAAATTTGCTGAAGGGGAAAGAAAAATGAAGAATTTGACTTACCTTGTCGGTGTAGACGAAGAACAGAATCACAACAGTGAGCTCCAACAGAAATATAATTAACAGCATGATAAAAAACTGTCAAGAGAAGAAAGGACAGGGGATAAAACAAAAGCAAAAGCCATCAACATCTATTTCAGCTTTTTCTGGATGCACAGCAAGTACATTCAGCAGATCATGCAGAATGGGGAGTGGGAGTCATACAGGCAGCAGGATACAAAGCTGCTGCAGCTGAAAAAGCAGGTAAAGGACTAGTCAGGAAACACCATGCATAGGCATGGCTCATTTATAGCACTGCTTTCACTAGAACAGCCTAAAACCCCACCAAGAACAAGCCAGTGCTCTCTTTGACAGCAAGCCTTGAGGAATCTTCTCATGCTAGGTTTTCTTCATTTTCCCCCACACTGGATATTAGTGATGATATCCATGAAATCCACAGCTTAACTTCCCATGGCAAAAGGAGATAGCCTGGGCCATAAGTAATAAAGTCATAGCTCCTTTCAAGGGTAATTGAGGGATCAAGGGGGAAGTGAAAGGTGTACCAAGTTAGCTTTGTGAGCAGTTTCAGGGAGCTACACAAATCACCCACGAGTTTCAGCTGAAAGGGGCTGATTTGTACTGAAGACATCAAAGTTGGGCCACCTCTCTTTCTTCTCATAAGCCACGGAGCTGCCCAAAACCCAGAAGTCAAAAGCTCAAAGCACTGGATAAAAAGCTTTTAACACGGGGATTTCAGGTAGATTCTCTAAAGCTCTGATTGACTTCAGTGAGAGGAATGGCAATGCCAAACACTTCTGGGAAACCACATCAAAAACCACATTTTGTTACCATGCTGCATGGGGCTGCAGCAGCATCAACACAGCACTTACAGACTTTAGAGTGAGTGTTATCAGAGCATTAAATGATAAGGAGTTTTGCCTAGATAGGTAAAGGAGAGAGTAATTTTGGAAACTTTTTAGGCTGAGGCAAAGGTCCAGCTCCCTAAAACACAAAATTCACACACTTAGCAACCTGTAAGGCTGGAATTCTAATACTGAGCAACACCAACCTAATTGGAGTCCCATTCCCAAGAGAAAAATGCAATTACTGTCTCTTCAACCACAAGGCTGCAAACCTATAAATGTTTAATAGCTACTAAGCCTTTATCAGAATTTCTGCACTGCCTGGTAAGCCAAAACCAAACCTTTGAACCCATGGATTTATGTGACTGAATGGAGGGCAAAAAGTCACAAAGGGGAAAATACTTTCCTTCCCTGGTACAATTACTGTGTCTACAGAAGTCATTGCATTTTGCCCAATGAATCTTAAATTATTTATTTTCAAATTTTCATCACCAGTATTTTTACACCTGCCTGACCCTAATACTGGATCCTATTACTGCCCAGTTTTGAATCACAGACCTCATTTGTGCCTGTGATCCAAGCTGATTTCCATATCATTACCATCCAGCACTGACCTTTTGTATGGCTTTCCAAACCTGTCTTGGTGCAGCTTGCTTATTTTTTACAATTTTAGCCTGCTGCATAGCATTAATTGAAACAGGACAAAGCATATCCCTCTTTGCAAAGATGCACAGACACTTTGGTCTATCTAGTTGGCTGTAGAGTACTTTTTTGCTCATCCATAAAAGCATCACTTTTCCAAAAGGTGTGTGTGAACACCATTTTCTCCCTTTGAAATTCCCTGGCATAGACAGGATTGCATGAGACAATTTCTAGAACAAAGGAAAAAAAAAATTGTGTGTTATCTGCTATATACAGTGATCAGCATTTCCTACCACAAGACCTCAGTTTCATCAGCTCATCATTTTGCCAAACCTTAATTGTCTGTGCTGATATATTCTGTGCTTGTTTCTTGTTTTTATCCGAAAGGATAAAAGCTTTTGGAAAAACGTCAAAAATAGCACTCCAATTACTTCCAAGAATGAAGCAGGGCAAAGTATGCTATTTTTCCCAGGTTAAATTTCTGGTGCTTTTATTTGAAATCCTCTCATAGTGCAGTGCTTAGAGCAGGGACCTGACACAGTGCAGCTCCATTTCAGGCACAGAAATTTCAGCCTTTTGTCTCACCCAGCTACGAGTGGATGTTTTTGGGAAAGTTATTAGCTTTCAAGAGTCTGCATTTCACACATCATAGAGATGAGAGGGATCAGCAGCTAAAACCTGCAAATCATACACCCACATGGCTCACACACAACCAGACAACACACAAACCATCCCACAGATCTCTTCTGCTCCTGTGGTGCCTTTCTGCCATCTCCCCCAAGCCAATAACCTCCAGCCCCACTTCACAGGACACGACCTGGAAGAGGGGGTATGTCCAGGAACTGGAATAAAACATAGAGATCTGTTTTTCCTGTGCTCTCAAGAAAGCTTTTCCTCCCCTCTCTGCACACAGCAGCATGGAGAGAGTACAGATGAAACCACGAGTGACTGCAGGAGAAAGGCTATCCCAAGTAAAACATTTTTAACAGCAGCTGGGGAATGGTTTGGCTTAGGTCTGGCTACAAGTTTTAGAAAGACTGGTCCTACAAGCAGCAGACAATCCAAGTAGGAGACAGAGGGAGCCAAGGGACACCTGTCCACATGGATTCCCAGAAGGAACAAGGCTTTTGAGAGGATGGTGGCCTGGGGAGGGCCCCATGCTGGAGCCATGGAAAAAAAGAGCAAGAAATAAAGAGTGGTCATAAAAGAAAAGCATCCTGCACTGATCCCCACGACTGAGTATTATGTGCAGGGAATGAACTGGAGACCATCAAGGGGAAAGGAAAGGTGTCTGGAGGGAAGTTGAGGAGTTTTCTCAAGGATGTCATTATTTCCTCTTAATTGGCAACAACTGAAATGAAATTTCACATCTCTAGAGTATTTTCCCCTCCAACACCAACTCTGCTAAAAGCTACCAGCTTCAGACTGGAGCAGGGAGCTGCTCCTGCCAGCTGTGCCATCGTGTCCACCAGCAGAAGGAGGCTGGACCTTCTGGGAGATCCTGACGGTGCTCCTGCCTTCCCCAGGTCATACTAGAGAAACAGGCATCAGAAAAGATGCTCAAATTATGGAGTCAAGCACTCAAAATTTAGGAAGTACCAGAATAAAAATCCTCTCGGTGATGGTTATATATCATGTCTAAGTTTTTCCCTACATAGACTGAGAGGATCCTCCAAGCTGGGAATTTGGTTTTGTGCACTGTAAATCTTGGAAGCCATACAGTGAACCAAAACTAATGTACGTTGTTCAGAAAGTCAAAACCTAGATAAGGATTATCCTTTATCCCCATAGAAAAATATTTCGGTTTTATATAAAGTATCTCATTCTATCTTTGTTTGTACATTTGGAAACACTGACAGAGCCCACACAGTTGTATCACAGAGCCCACACGGCTGTATCACAGATAACTAACAAGTATTGTGAATCCCCAGGAGTGCAGACAGCAGAGACCTGCTGTATCTTTTATTACAAACGTTAATTAAGTGAGATCAACCCCAGCGTGGAGGCTGCACACTCATCACCTGGTAAAAGCTACAGGCACTTGAATGTCAGCTCACCTGCCATCCCCCTTCCAAAGAAGAGCTGTACCTGAACCCAAACCAGCACCTTGGAAAGCAGCAACCAAGGCTTCAGCCTGTGCTGGCTGCAAAGCAAGGCCAGCACACTGCAGCCCATCCTGTGATCCACCACACTAAGGGGCATGCATGGGTACCTGCACGGATACCTGCACGGGTACCTGCATGGGTACCTGCATGGGTACCTGCATGGATACCTGCATGGGTACCTGCACGGATACCTGCACGGGTACCTACACGGATACCTGCACGGATACCTGCACGGGTACCTGCATGGATACCTGCATGGATACCTGCATGGGTACCTGCATGGATAACTGCATGGATACCTGCATGGATACCTGCATGGGTACCTGCATGGATACCTGCATGGATACCTGCATGGGTACCTGCATGGATACATGCACAACCTGCTCCTCTAGTCCACAGCACCCTCCAACAAAGGTCACTTGCAGTTCCATCCTCAGTATTGATGCCCAATCTAGGGCCAGACCCAGCCTGGCACACACCATTCAAATTCAGAAGGCAGAAACAGGAACTCACTGCCCCTAAACCCCCACCACACCTGCTGGAAACTCTCACAGCTGCTTTTCAACTGAGTTCTCTCACTGTGGTGATAAATACTGAGAAGAATAAAATTGACTTTTGTTTGCTTCACTGGGGCTGTAGGCTATTGGTATAATAAAGATTTATGCATGGAGAAACAACAATCCTAAAGCAAAGCATTCATGTGAAACTCCATAAAAAAAGATTAATCTGACCTTGTACAGAGAAATGCTTTACCATACTACCTGTCAAACAGTGGGATGCAACCCAGCAGAGGTTCAGTGGAGAGGTCCCTACTGCATAGCTTTTCATAAATTACACCTGAAATAACCCCACAGAAGCTTTGATGAGGAGGGAGGTAAGGTAACACCCTTCTGTCTACCACTGCTGATTTCCAACCCCTAAGAAAACTAAGGCTGGCTTCTCAGCAGCTACCTTTATATTCTACAAAGCCTTTGCCTTTCCCACAGATTCTCATTAAAGGTGTATGGAAAGGGAAGTATGCAACTGCTACCAAAGCTACCTCATGGATATGTACCACCCTCCTGCTGTCAGAGAGAAAAGTCTGCTAGAGGAGAGGAGGTCCCAGCTTTCAACTCCACCCCCATTGGATCTGTACCAGGCTTTTGACTCACTACTTCCAGTTTTGCTCATTCAGGCTGTTGATACAACTGGAGAATCCAGAACTGCTTAAAGCCTGTTTCCATTGCTGCTCACACAGGCACAGAACAACAAGTTAACTGTATTTCCATCCCAAACAAACAGGATTCCCTGGTTTCTCAGATGCTACAGACTCTCTGCATGATGACTGACATCACACATGAATACACAGGATTGGGTCATCTGCTTCCCCACTGCCTCTCCCTCCCAAACCTTCTCACTAGAAGGATCATGTTGCTCAAATTGCCCATCTCTCCATGTCAGGAGCAGCTGATCTTCTCTCAGTCTCCCAAAGACAAAAGTGACCCAACAC